TGTTTCCAGTGGAGGAATTGCAGGCTGCCTCCAGGCCCTGTGCTGAGCAAACACAGCTATCCTGCTTCTGGAACCTGCTCAGGTCAGAAGCAGCCTGGCAATGTGGCCCAAGCCAGCTCTAAGCAGAGACAGCAGGTGTAGCAACATCACATTCTCACAACAGAGCACAAGCATTCACCTTGGATCCACCATGGACGATGCCACACTGAAATTAATATGCCACTCTACAGCCCAAAGCATGGCATGAGGTATTGGGTTTATATGTCAATATTTTGGTAGCAGGAGGGGCTAAAGGGTGACTTCTGTGAGATGACGCTAGACACTTTGCCCACATCCAAGAGAGCCAATGCTAGCTGGCTCTAAGACAGACTTGCCACTGGCCAAGGCTCAGCCCACCAGCGATAGTAGCAACACCTCTGAGATAAAAATTGCAGCTGGAAGAGAGGAGTAACAATGTGTGAGAGGAACAGCTCTGCAGGCACCAAGGTCAGTGAAGCAGGAAAGGGAGGATGTGCTCCAGGCACCAGAGCTGAGATTCCCCTGCAGCCCACGGTGCAGAGCATGGTGAGGCAGCTGTGCCCCTGCAGTCCATGGAGGTCCAGGGGGGAGCAGAGATCCACTTGCAGCCCATGGAGGACCCCACACCAGAGTATGTGGATGCCTGAAGGAGACTGTGACCCCATGGGAAGCCCATGATGGAGCAGACTCCTGCCAGGACCTGTGGCCTGTAGAGAGAGGAGCCCACGCTTGAGCAGCTTTGTTGGCAGGACTTGTGACCCTGCAGGGGACTCGTGCTGGAGTAGCCTGTTCCTGAAGGATTGCATCCCATGGAACACACCCACAACTGGAGCAGTCTGTTCCTGAAGGACTGTCTTTTGTAGGAGGAAGCCCACATCAGAGCAGGGGACGAGCATGAGGAGGAAGACAGTAGCACAGATAACGTGCACAGAACAGAGCTCAACCCCCATTCCCCATCTGCCTGTGCTGCTGGAGAAATTCAATTCAGTTCAATTCTTCAGATCAAAGAGACAAATATGTTTCAAAAAGAATTAGCAAGGGTATATGAAAAGAGCAAAGATGGCAGTTAGCCAGTTAGCAGGTATGTTCCTGACAGTATAAGTAGCCAAGGAAAGGTTACTGAAGGCTGTGTGGATTCTCCATGCCTGTGTACCATTAAATCAAAACTTCATTTTTCCATTGAAATTCCTTGTTTTACCTGAAACAGGAAATGATTTGGAAAAATGCCACTAATCCCTTGTAACAGAGAAAACGATAAATTATTGCAATAGTTTTCTATAATTTAAGAAACATCCCCAGCAAACAGAATTACTGACCCTTCCAATTTGTCATCAGCTATTTCACCATTCTTATCTACTATTTTCTTATGTGTCTTATGTATCGTTCCCTGATTTCCAGTGGTGATTCATCAGCAGGCTTCCTAAGCCTCCCTAAATTGTCTTGCAGCAGTGCTGCTTCTCCATGTTCAAGCACCGCCCTGAAATGACCTACCTGAAGGATCTGCTGCTCCAGCTGCGAGTTGCCTTTGCATAGATTCATTATCTGCTGCAACAATAGCTTTGCACTCTCTGTCTTCCCTGCACCACTCTCTCCACTGCCAAGAAAAAGCAGAAGAAATTCCAACAGCTGCTAAGTATAGTTGTTCTGCCCCTTATGGCCTAAGTGCCCTCAGTGCTACAGTGTCTCTGTAGCAGAGCGTGCTCTCCACAAGTTTCACAACTTTTTCAGCAAAATTGCAAGTGTTAGTACAACCCACATACCACAGCTTTACACTGGGTGTCCCACAAGATCCTGGTCCCTCCTCCTCAGGGGAATTTTCCCCCATCTGCAAGGGAGTACAGATACACCCCTTGTTGTCACTTCTGGATGGGATACACCAGACACACCATTTGTTCTGCTTCTTAAGAAAGCTGAATCTATCTTCTGGAAAACAAACTCCTTCAAAAGCCATCTGATACATCAACTGCCTCACCTATGCTGGAGTCAACAGCTTCCTGTTTCTGCAAAGGGATTTGCCCTATCCATATCTTATCCACAACCGAATACTAATCTTGAGTGGCAGTCTCAAATCTCAGGTGCTTCACACATCCACGTGCCTCAGCTGGCTGACACCGTGGGCAGACAGGCACAGAGTTGCCTGTACCCCCACAGCGTCAGCACTGCACGTCACCCTGCTGACACACATCCACAGTGCCTCCGCCTCCAAGTCAAACAACCAGCACTTGGAAAGCGCAGTTTGCCTTGTCCTGGCATGGAGAACATATGATCAGTGAGACAACGTGTCCCTGACTGATAACAACGCACCAGCTGAGAACTTCAGCATAAGCGTGGCGAAAAAAAATGAATGCAGGAAATGCTGGAGGTATCCTTGAGGGCAGGTCTCCGTCTCCACAGCCGACCTTTGAGCTTGCGGCATGGTAGCTTTGTAGCTCCCAGTGGCTCTGTGCTTGGGATCAAGTATGTGTCACAGGTAGGCTGAAAACCTCGAATACTAGAGCACATACCTGATTTCAAGTACAGATCAGACCAGCACCACCCAAATAAGCACAAACAAAGCAAGACCAGTTTGCCAGTTGAGAACATGCCATCCAGACAATACCTCTGCTCAGTATGTCAGATTTATTTTTGTTTTCAGTAACTTGCTTCCTCCACAAGAGAACTACCAAGTCAGCACTCCTAAGGTTCAAGCTTGTCCTTAGACCCTCCAACAAGCACAACAGCTTCAGCAGGGCCTGCAAGCACTATCCAGCTGCCAGTGTGTAACTGCTCCAGGCTGTGAAGAAAAGCAAAGTCATCTTCAGGTGACCCAAGTGCTGTACTACAGCATGCCCAGGCTATGACTAATGTCTGTTGGGATTGGGAAGGTAAGAGGAGCCAGTAGAATTCCTAGCTCAGGACAACTCAGTAGCCATGAACACTTGTCATGTGGGGGCAGCTGCTTTGTCTAACATCAACCTCTGAAACATGCCATGCAGCCTCCCAGACTAAGCTGGAGACCCTAAAGAGACTACAAGGAACAGTAGAGCCTGGTGTGTCCTTGTGCTGTTTTGATGAACCGTGGTCTAGGAGGAGTGACCTCCTCCTCCACCTCTACCCCAACTCCTGCTCAGGTCAGGTAATCTCGTTAATGAGTGTTTCACCATTGATAAGAGAGCAAAACCATAAACTTCCTGTGATAGCAATACACAGATCAGTTGATAGGGTTGCAAGACGCACAAGAATACACCAGACTCTCATCTCTGAGACCACAAACTGCTGGCATAAAACAATCAGAGCAATGACCTCTTGGCAAATGCTCACAGGTTCTTGTCTTCCACATCCCAAGGCAAATATGATGATTGTTCTTCATCCCCAAGAGCCTCTTGGGATGGAGGCCCAGTGGAGCCCACTGCCTCTTGCACGTGCTGACTCCACAGCCACCACTTCCTGAGAGCAATTCACATAAAGCAAAGGCACTGATGGCCTGCAGGCTACAGAAATGAATGGGGCTCAAGTGACCCTCAAGGTCAGCTCCCAGTCCCATCAAAACACTCAGCAGTGATTCAGCAATTCAGTTCCACACTATGTAGACTGAAAGTACTGACAAAATTGTCAGAAGCCCCATATAAAAAAGGGAGTATTAAATCAAACACACAATTAACATTTTAACTACGATGACATTTAAACTGTTCTCTACAACACCCAGAAGAGGCGGTTTGTGCTTTGAGCCTTTCTGTTTGCTGTTTGAGGCTTTCTCTCCTAGTGGATGCTGTTTGAGGCTTTCTCTGCTAGCTGACACTACCTGCTGCCCTGCAGAGTTTCAGCAGAACAATAGTGACATCATGGAGTGAAATGTTCGTGATACTGAAACACTCTTTGGTTAAAACAACACTTTTTCCCCCCCACTTCCAGCACACAGAACTGGCCATGACAATGGGATTCTCCCCAACAGTCAGGGAGCAAAAAAGCATATTTAATTCCTCCTGCTTCTTTAATCATATATAGGAAGCTCAACTCTGTGAAAACAGGTTCCTTCCACTATGTATAACCTTTATACAGCATTTACTGAGGTAGTTGTGTTGCCAGAGGAGAGTACTTTGCGACTTTCCCCGGAGCTGGTTAAACCTTTCCAGAGGCACGGCCCTCCAAAAGCGAACCTGGCATATTCAGCGTCGTGACCAGCATCGCTGGCCGAGCTGCTCCAGGAAAGCCAGCTTTGTTTGCCACACACCTCTGCCGCGACCTGGAAAGAGGTCGGGACGAGGGATGCGCTGCCAGCGCAGACGGATTTTGACTCGCCAACAGCACCGGAGACGAGCTTCACCTGAACCTTCGGCGGGCAGATCCCAGCGAGAGCCCGGGGGTTGTCACTCGGCCTCCCACCGCTGCCCGCCCCCGGGGACCCCCGGCCGCCCCTCACCTGACGAGGATGCACTGGTTGCGGGCCCGCCGCCCCGCCGGCCCAGCATGGCGTGGTAGGCGCGGCCGGCCACGGCGAAGATGTGGGGCGGCAAGCGAGTCGGTCTGGGAGGCGCTGGTACCGCTCGGAGACCTGCGGGGAAGCGGCGGAGGACAGGCGTGAGCGGCCGGGGCCGCGGGGCGCGGCGGGGGGGCGGGCGCTCACCTCTCTGCCGTACAGCGCAGCGGCTGGAAGGGGTTCACGGCGATGAGGATGTCCCCGATGTGGTCTGTGGGAAGGGGGAGAGCGAGTCAGCCCGGAGCCGCCCGCCGCCCCCCGCCCCGTAGCGCGGCACTCACATAGATGTGCTGGCTGAGGAAGCGGTCCCGCAGCCCGGACAGCAGCGCCGCTCGTCCAGCTCCGACAGCGCCGCAGGTTCCCGGCCCGCCCGACGGGGAAGCACCGCTCCCCCAGCGACACCATCGCTACCCGGGGCCGCTGCCCGCCAGCCGCCCGCCAGCCCGCCCACCCTCTCTTCTCTTCTCTTCTCTTCTTTCCCTCCCCGGCCCGCCCGCCCGCCGCGCTCCGCCCCGGACCGCCCGCGGGGCGGGGCCGCCGTTTGAATGCGGGGCGGCGGACCGGCAGGTAACGCGGCCGGTAAACGGGCGGCGGGGGCGGCGGGGCGGACGGGGGCGGCGGGGGCGGCGGGGGCGGCGGGGGCGGCGGGGGCGGCGGGGGGCGGGCGTCTCCACCTGTGTAAAGGTGTTGGCAGGATGAGGCCCTCGGGCTCAGCTTGACTTTGGTGATCGCCCCGCCCTGAGCAGAAGGCTCAGTGGGATGACCCTTTCCCCCGCCCCCCAATATCCCTTTGTCTAAAGTGGTCCCTGATCGCAGCCAAGTATTTCTGGAATCCATGTCATCTCCACCCGTGGAAAGGTGTTGGGCAGGATGAGGCCCTGAGCAGCTCAGCCTGACTTTGATGGCAGCCCCGCTCTGAGCACAAGGCTCAATGGGATGACTCCCCCGCTAAAGATCCCTTTCGCTCAATTCGTCACTGACCCCAGCCAAGTATTTCCTGAATCCGTGTCATGCGCAGAGGAAAAAGAAATTGACTTTTAGTAAAAAAAAAATAAAAATATTAACGTTTGGTTAATGTTTTTCGGCGTGCTCACATTCTTTTTTTTTTACTGAAAACTTTTATTTCTCTAAAACGCATTTTATCTGATTAAAAAAAAAACCCAAACAACCCGATAATGAATAAAATGCTTAACTTTTGGTCAACAAAAACATTCTGCACAATCCACAAGTCTTTTGGTGGATCTTTTCTCATCTCCTGCAAAATATAGTACCTTTGGTTTTGACTAATCCAAACCACACTATTAATAACCTACACTGCAGGGAAAGTGAAGGAAGGCTAGTGCATAGTTTACCTACTATATTTACTCCTGCAGTATTTACTGCAACATCTACTGTAATAATTTACTGCAATACTTACTCCTGCTATCTTTACTCCTCAGGGTGGCTGAGGGCTGGCTGTGGTCTCTGGCTTTGCACCCTTCCTGATAAGAGCAGTCCTAACCCTAAGGCCTATTCCATAGCAGCCACCACCCATGGGATGGGATGTGGGCCTGAGTGGCCCCTGGAGCTGACCCACCGAGTGGCTACCCTCCTGACACATCAACATTGGCTGGGCAGTGATAAAAGTGGGAGATTTTTTGAGGATACTCAGAAAATTTAAAAATGTTGAAGGGAATATTGGTAATGGGGTATCATAAGATGGTTAATGGTAACAGAATGTGTTTAATTAGTGGCGTTTAGTTATTGGTTTCTGAATGTGAGACAGGAGAAGCAAGATGGAGCGGTTCTGTCCCCTGTAGGTGAAGTGTTTTCTAGTGTACCTATGGGATTCCAGGCAGCTCTCCCTACAGACCTGACACAGTTATAGTATAATACATTGTAGAATAATGAGAGTGTTTGAACTGCTTTATGTGAGCAGGAGATGGTCAAACCTGGCGTAACTTTTTTTCTTATTATTACTGTTTGTTAAAAGAAATTGGTCTGCAAAATGAAAACCTTGACTGCAATCTGCCCTGGCTAAAGGTGCTCTGCAAGTGGTAGCATTTTGGTCCGTTGTTGGTGAGTACTTTGCAACTGCACACTGATAGAGTCACAGAATATTTTGGGGTGTAAGGGACCTTAAAGACCATCTCATTCCAACACCCCCCCACTCGACCAGGTTGCTCAGAGCTCCATCCAAGCTGGCCTTGAGCACTTCCAGGGAGGGGTCTAATGCTAAGGTTTGTGTGGTGTTCCCTGCAGTGCTGCCTCTCCATCCACAGTGGTGCCAGGTCTGCCCTGTTTGACCAAGACGTGGCCTTGGCTACACTTGTGATTGTATTGTAAGTGGATATGAGGATAAAGCTGTGAAGAAGCTCCTGCTACTATAAAATACTGCACATGTCCATCAGCTACCTGGACTTTTGCAAACTCATTTAGTGAGTCACTTATTTGATGTGAAATTCTTGTTTCAGGCATTGATTTACGTATTTGAAATGTCCCTGGAAGATTGTGTTTGACAAATTTCCTTCTCTGTGATGGCACATCTTTCTGTATTAGTGTATCCTGTCAATGTGGGAATAAGAACTTTTGTGGAGGTAGCTCAGCTTCCAGAGAAACTGTATACCTAATGCCAGGACAAGTGTGCACTGCCTTTTCATAAAAAGAGCAATATTTAACTGGTGTTCTGCTAAAACATGACTTTTTCTCTGAGAGAGTGGGCTAGAAGAGGGACTGTTTTGTGTAACAAAACCACACTGCTCTGGCAGAATAGCAGAGCAGGACTAAAGCAGGTTAATGAGTGGGTAGTGTGATTCACAGCACTTGCTCAGCCTCTCTCATCTCTGCAAGCACAAACTACTGTTAGAAAATGGCAGTGCAAACCACTTGCTTCTTGCTAACCTTCATGGGAAAGCAAGCAAGAGTGCTCTCCTTCCCTTCTCCTTCCCCCACAAGACAAATCTTATGGCTGTTTTCAACTATCCACATTACCTCTTCCGCCCACTTTGGGTTTGGTGAGAATTTTGCACAAAGAATTGGGAGGCAAAGGACAGGAAGCAGTGGTTTGTGAGTGGGATTGTACACTTGAGATTTGCCTACAGATGTGTCCTCATGTGCTGCTCCTGCTTTCACAGCCTGGTCTTTCTAACCTCCGTTCCTCCAGTCAATACAGGGCTCCTGTGGTCGCAGGTGGGAATGCAGAAGGAAACTGTTAATAACCGTTGCTGGCAACCGACTTCCCTTTTTTCTTAGGAAAGCGTAGAGTTTGTAGTTCAGAATCCTACCCTGTGACATAGGTTATTCTTTTGTTGTGTGTCCACCTCTCTTGGCTCTTCAGGATCCATTACCTTTCTGTGTATCAACCCTGAGTCTGCCATGAGTGACTCATCCCTGCTGTTTCTTGCTGGAGCAAACACTGTGGAAGACCAGAGGGCTCGCTGGGAGAGAAAGCGCAGCCGGACAGCCAAGGAGCTGCTGGAAACTGAACACAAATACCTCGAGCAGCTGGATTTGGTGGTCACAGTGAGTATTTCTGCCCGTTTTGCTATGTGGGTATCTTCAGACAGCACGTACTTATTTGTGTTGTCATGGGGAAGGGTCAAGAGCAAGACTTTGATATACCCCTAGTGCCTGGGACAGCTGCTGGGGCTGAAAGGTTTTTTTGTTGTTTTTCTTTTACCTCCTCTGTAATATTCAGGAGCTTGTGGGTTTGGCCCTTTGGCTTTGGTCTATACACGGACATTAACCTTTGAATTTTGATTGTATAAGGACTTACCTTAAGATGCCTGAGATGTATGAAATGTAGGGGGCACAAACAAACAAAGACTATAGACAAGATGGTGAAAGACAAATACATCTAAGGATACTGAAATACACTCTGTTGGTCTGTTTAGTAGTACTATAGTACTGTTCCATGTGTTTAGAGTTATGGTCAAAGTTACAAATCAGGCTAACATCTGACGATGGATTTCTTAGGCAGACATAATATTTGATATCCTTACAAGCCAGAGTGTGCAGGCAGGAACTTCTGGCTTCTGCTGTATGCCCAAATGACCTTTGAGTAACCTCAAAGGTTAATAACCTTTGTAGCTTTCCATTACTTAAAGGGGGCTTATAAAAGAGAGAGAGAGAGTGACTTTTTATACAGGCATATATTGATAGGACAAGGGGGAATGGTTTTAAATTGAAAGAGAGTAGGTTTAGATTACATGTTAGCAAGAAATTCTTTTACTGAGAGAGTGATGAGGTAATGGAATAGGTTGCCTACCCAAGTTTTGGATGTCCCACTCCTGGAAGTGATGGGCCAGGTTGGATGGGGCTTGGAGCAACCTGGTCTAGTGGAAAGTGTCTAGTGGACATTGAATGAGATGGTCTTTAATGTCCTTTCCAACCCAAACCGTTGTGTGATTCTATGATGATCTGTGAATTCTACCTGTTTGAAATTCTCTCTTTTTTATCTACTTAGTACTTTGTGACAATTTTAAAGGCCAAAGGGACATTGAAACCTGCTATGTTGGAAACTATATTTGGACCCCTGGAATCCATATATTCGGCCAGCCAGTAAGTGGACACATTGTTGCAATTCCTGTAATTGTACTGGGAGGACTCTATACTGATGAGAAAGCTTTACTTCCCAAAATCTTACTAACACCTTGTAAAACAGGCATTCACTTCTAGCACTTCTAGCTTTGGTGACACTTAATGTGTACCCAGGAAACTGCTGATCTGTGTCACATATCTGGATGTTAAGAGGTAGTGGTTTAACCTCAGTAAGTCTGCTCCACGGTGTGTTCTGTGGCTTACTCTGTGATTTCCAAGCACATATTTGGCACAGAAACTGGATGTGAGGTGGAGAACAACAAAGGAAGGTCATCACAGGAATGAAACAGAGAGAGCTGTGAAAATGCCATCAGTAATGTAGCCCTCACAAGCTATTTTGCTCCTTGTACACAGTGTTCTGTCATTTCATCTGGAGAGAGGGAATTTGGGACCAGGACTGGAAAGTTTTTGTCAGAATCTGGATCTTTACGGCCACTATGCTGAGAATTTGGAGCAGGCAAATAAAACCTTGAAGGTAAATAACTACTTTACTCTTCTTATTCTCTGTGTTTTTCTGTTCCGTGAAACAGCTACATCCTTCCCTTTTTCTTCTGTTTCTGGAGTAATCATTTTTCTGACTTCTACTAGGCTGATGATATTCAGTCTTTCTTCCATAATAAAATAGTAAAAACTTCTCTACTTCCTTAGAGCTTCAGATTTTTCATGCTTTTTTTCAGGTGTTTGTGTATGTAAGTGCATATGCTGAGAACAGCATTCTCAAAGAGAGTTCTGTATTTACTCCCACTCCTTCTCGGCTGGCAGGCCTAGAGAGCTTCCAGGCTTTCACTAGGGTACAGTGATCTCTTTCTGGGAATTGTCAGGTCTCCTAGTTTTTCCCACTACCACTAACTGTATCCTTAGCAGTGGGATTTCCTTTTCCTTCACAATTTCTTTTCTCTGGTAGAATTTTATTTTTTTGAGGGAGACGCATGTCTCCAAATACAACATGTTTTCAAGAAATTTCAGAAGGATGTATTTTTATTCCAAAGTTCTGACAGCTATATCTGGAATTTAAACCCCTCCACCCCCAGTTTTTGTCCATGCATGTTCCCAGATGCAGGATGTACTGGGATATTTGATATTTCCCTTCTCCTGTATTTCCATGCATATATTCACACTTTTGATTGTCCAAGAGAAAAAGGCATTTTGGATACTTGCCTTGAGGTGATGGGAATGTGGAGCTGCATTGCTTTGTCTTGAAATGAGTGGGACAAAGCCACAGGTGCACTCCTTGTTTTCCTAATTGGGTTCAACCTTCCCTTCTTCTTTCTTTCCATTTGCTGCATATACTAGCTTTGTGCTGCTGTGCCTGTATGAAAGAATAATATTGCTTCCATTACCCACTGGAACTGATGGTTAGGAGAAAGGGAGTGGCTTGCCTATAACCACAAAAGAAGTTGATGCTTGTGTTTAGGACTGGAGTCTTGAACTCTAAGTTGAAGAGTTCTAAGCTCTGGTTCAGACTAGAGCACATAATTCTTTTTGTAGTCTCAAAGCTGTATCCCTTTTCTGCTGCACACAGGAGCAATTGAAGAAAAATAAGTCATTCCGGCGGTTTAAGAAACTCCAGGAATCTCGACCTCAGTTTCAAGGGAAGGAGCTAGAGGATCTGCTTCCTTTGCCCCTGCAGAGGCTGCACCAGTAAGTAAGAAATTGTGAGTCTTCAAGGGGTTAGCATGAGGAAGGAAAAAAGAACATAACAGTGTCTTGATTGCTTTGGGAGGTAAAGTTGCTTAATGTGTCTCAAAATCAAAAAAGCACATAGACAGCAGTGAAGCAGATCTGAAGATGTGCCTGTAGAGTGGAATCACTGTACGTGGATTGGAGATGATGCAGGGAAGTAGCTGTGTTTAGCCCTGCCTCCTATGCTCTTGGGTAGAATTGGAGGCTTCCTGCCACCTCAGTAAGCTACCAAAGTACAACTCTGAACAAAAACAAGCTGTCTGAAATGCTGCAGAAGTGATGCCCTCTGCCAGAGATGGCCTCGCTCTGCTTTTGTGCAGGTTGCTGCCCTGGGGCATTGTGACTCTTGTAGATCACTGCTTTTGGAAAGGATGAAATTAATGAACACAGAAGAGCTTTTCTTCCCTCTCTGATTATCAGGGCCATATGCTTTCCTCAGATTCAACGCCTATTGCAGTTGTCTGAGCCTGGACAGATCCACTCTTGATTGCTGCATTCCCTTTTGAGGCACCAAACCTTCCAGATTTCAAGAAATATTCAGACAGCACTTGTGCATGTGTGATTTTTAGAGTTATCCTGTGCAGAGCCAGGAGCTGGACTTGATGGTCCTTTTGGGTCCCTTCCAACTCAGGGTATTCTGCAATAATCCCCCCTCTGAAGAGGCAAACTGACTGCATGGGGAGAGTGCTGCATGCACTCATGGGCAGCCCTTTCTTGGGGAGGGTGTCTGGGTAATACAGAGCACAGGTAGTTTGCTGGGAACTCAGCTGCTGCTGCTGTAGATCAAGTAGCTGCTTTTCAACTATAAACATTAAGCTGACTGGTGTTTTTTTTATTATAATGCTTTGGATACTTCCTTTAAATTTGCAAAACAGCAGTATATTTGTTGCTGTCCAACAGGTGGGAAAAGTGTTAGCTTTTTAACAGAAGATCTAATTTTATCATTAATCAGCTCATCATGTTCAATTTTCTTCAAAACACTAATAACAAATACACTAGGTCATACGAGTTCTGCCAGTTTGTGAATCTGTTAAATTCCTTCTGTCATTTCAGACTGAAAACAGTTTGACTTTACTAAGAGAAAGAATTTGCAGAGATCTGATCCTTTCCAGTAAAGACTGGAGAGGAAAAAAAGAAAAAGGAAGATCCTAGTTCTTATAGAAATGCCTTTATTTTCTTGTATGGGCAGGAAACACGGTATGAATGCCACCGTTCAGATACAAAAAAATAGATAGTTCAAAGAGAAATTTGTCTGATATTGAAGGCATTTTTATGTGAATGCTGAGAGTCTCATGAACACAAGTAATTTGTGAGGTTGTTTTTTTTCAGATCCCCAGGAAAAGCCAAAGGCTTGCAGATGTATAAAATACTTGGGTTACTTTAGAGAATAAATTTGATGATAAAATGAATGTGATTGAAGTGTGGCCAAAACTGCTTGGTTAGGCTTAGATGTGTGTACTCCATCTCTTGGTGGAGTGCTCTTCATCATGCTGTCACTTACAGGAGGTGCTGATGTTCCTGGTATCTTGTGAATTAAACCTGCTCTCTCCAACTTAGGTACAAGCATTTCTTCAGAGACCTGCTGGAGAACACCTGCCCAGACAGTGCTGAGCACCTCAAACTTGCAAGTATGATTCCACCTGTAGATGCTGACACTTTGGTCAGTGATAGCCTCCTTGCTAATAATATTTGGATTCCCACTTCCTGCCTGCTTCCACAGAAGAAAAATCTTCCTCTCTGTGGGGCTCTTGTGGATTACTATTTCCCTTCTCCATTTTGATCAAGATATCGCTGAGAACACATTGGGAATAAAAATGTAGAGTAACTGTCTGTGAAAGTGGCCTAAGGGTTAAATTGGAGAAATGGCAGCTCTATTTCTTTAATTTTTATTTTTAATTCTTTTTTATTCTGATGGTGGTGAGGCACTGGCACATGCTGCTCAGGGAACTTGTTGATGCCCCATCCCACCAAGGGTTCAAGGCAAGGTTGGATGGGGTCCTGAGCAACCTGGTCTACTGGAAGGTGCCCCTGCCCATGGCAGATGGGTTGGAATGAGATGCTCTTTAAGGTCGATTCCAACCCAAACCATTCTATGACTCTCTTTGTCACATGCCTCAATTTTCTAGGGTAATTCATGTCCTTCATGCCATATCCAATCACTAGTGGTGTTCCCCAGGGCTCAGTACTGGGCCCAGTCCTCTTTAATATCTTATCTATGATCTGGACGAGGGGATCAAGTGCACCCTCAGTCAGTTCACAGATGACACCAAGTTGGGCAGGAGTGTTGTTCTGCTGGAGGGTAGGAAGGTTCTGCAGGGGGATCTGTACAGGCTGGATCGATGGACCGAGGCCCATTGTGTGAGGTTCAACAAGGCCAAGTGCTGGGTTCTGCACTTGGGTCACAACAAACCCCTGCAGTGCTCCAGGCTGGGGGCAGAGTGGCTGGAAAAGGACTTGGGAGTGCTGGTCAACAGTGGCTGAACATGAGCCAGAGCGTGGCCAGGTGGCCAAGAAGACCAATGGCACCTGGCTTGTGTCAGCAATAGCGTGGCCAGCAGGACCACGGCAGTGACTGTCCCTCTGTACTCAGCACTGGTGAGGCTGCAACTCGACTCCTGTGCCCAGTTTTAAGCCCCCCATTGCAGGAGACACATTGAGGTGCTGGAGTATGCCCAGAAAAGGGCAACAATTTGGGGAAAGGTTGCCCACAAATCCTATGGGGAGCAGCTGAGGGAGCTGGGGGTGTTTAACCTGGAGAAGAGGGGGCTCAGGGGGCACCTTATCACTCTCTACAACCACCTGAAAGGAGATTGTAGCCAGGTGGGGGTCGGCCTCTTCTCCCAGGGAACAAGTGACTGGACAAGAGGAAATGGTCTCAAGCTGTGCCAGGGGAGGTTCAGGCTGGACATCAGGAGGAATTTCTTCATGGAAAAGGTTGTTAAACATCGGAATGGGCTGCCCAGGGAAGTGGTGGAGTCACCATCCCTGTAAGTGTTCAAGAACTGACTGGATGTGGCACTTAGTGCCCTGTTCCAGTTGATAAGGTGGTGTTCACTCAAAGGTGGGACTCAATACTCTGAGCGGTCTTTTCCGACCAAAATGATTCTGTGATATTTACAAGCAGTTAACTGAAGTAACACCACTTGTAGGGCTTTTTCCTTTTCTGCTTCCAAGTTATTCCTCTGTCTAACGTTTCATTGGTAAATGTTTTCTAGAGCTTCAGAACTGTTGATTGGAGAGAGGCCTCTGGAGGTAAACTACTCCAGTCTCCTGCTGAAATTCCTGAATAAAACTGTTGTTGATATTTGGTTTAAAACTTTGCTTCTTAATTTCATATTATCTTTTCTTAGCAAATAGCTAAGGTGAAATATATACTCATTTGTGATAACCTCAGAATATGCTGCTGTAATTTCAGAGGCTGTGAAATCTATATCTGAGATATCTCAGTGGGTCCAGGGCATAACTGAAAAAAGAGAGAACTCATTGCAGCTGCTTCGGGTTCAGAAACTGCTCAAAGGACAGAAGACCCAGGTTTTCACTCCAGGTGGGTCCTACTGACAGCTCTGTTTTTCTTCTGCCATGCTGAGATACATGAAGGTATGCTCTCCTTCACCTCTGACTCAACTCATATTAACCGGTTTTCCCCTTCTGCCCAAATTCCATAGAGAGGTGGTGAAAGAATATGACTGCTAATTCAAGCATTTTTTTTTTTAAAGTTAAGCATTTTTGAGTAAGGATAAGCAACATCTTAATTGCCTGACATTCAGGTAGGAGGAGCTGATGACATGTAGTTAAAAAGTTATGAACCCAAGGAAGCCAGGATTTTAAGTCCTGGGTGGGAATGAAAGACAGATATTAAATATTTTTTAAAAGACTGTAAATAGTGGCATTGTCTCTACTCCATTGCAGGACCCATAGATTTCTGAGTGTCAAGGGCCCAAGCACTGTGTTATTGTTTATCTTAAGCCATAAGATTCATGGAATTCTGCTCATACCCTTCATATGAAGAATTGTCTTTTATTTATTCTTTTATTTATTTCTTTGCCAGAAATCAGCATATTTGTGTTGATAGCTGAGATATATAAAATCACAGTCACTGGCATGTAAGAACATTTAATAGGATAACTGGTCTCTATGACCTCTTGTGTTACTGGGTGCTCTCCAAGCCCAGACCACGCTCCAAGCTGTGTAAGGAATATTCTGATAAATGCGCCCCGTCTGGGAAATTATGAAATGGTCACCTGGGGGTTCACCCTCTGCTGTTGCAGAGGTTATTCAGGCACAGTGCTGCAGCTGGAGAGGAGTGTTAAAGTCACTGTGTGTGAAGGCACAGCTCCAGGTGCTAGTGAATGTGGTTGTAATTCATACCTGTGGATCTTTGGGTGAAAGACACATTCCACAGCGGGATGGGGGAGAGATTCAGAAGGGTAAAACTGACAAAGCTCATGGGCTGAGATGAAGACAGTTTAATAGGTAAAGTAAAAGCTGTTCATGCAAGCAAAACAAAGCAAGGAATTCATCCACCACTTGCCATGGGCAGACAGGCATTCAGCTATTCCCAGGAAGGCTGGGCTCCCTACACACACAGTGGTTACTTGGGAAGACAAATGCCATCACTCCAAACACCCCCCTTCCTCCTTCTTCTCCTAGCTTTGTATGCTGACCATGGTGCCACATGGTATGGAATGTCCTTTGGGGAGCTGAGATCAGCTGTCCCAACTGTGTCCCTTCCCAGCTTCACATGCACCCCCAGCTTCCCTATTGGTGGGGTGAGGATCGGGAAAGATCTTGATGCTGAGAAGTGCTTACACAGCAACAAAGAAAAGATCCCTGTGTTGTCAATGCTGTTTTCAGTGCAAATCAAAACCAGCCCCATAGCAGTTACTATGGAAAAAATTAACTCTATACCAGCCAAATCAGCAAGGCTGACAAAGGTTGTTTATCAGAGGTCACTCTCAAAAGTGCTTAATCAATGGGCAGATAAATTCAAAATTCTCTTCCCCGTTCTTACAATTCTTCTAATGATGAAAGGGAGCTCACACAGGTGTGCTCTATTTACAAGGGAGCAGGAGCATGTGGTGGGGGGCCTGGGCACATTGGGGTAGTGCATAAGTAAAAAGGTAAATCAGTTATCCTGAATGCCAGAACTAATAAGATAACCCCTTTTTAAAAAAAAGAACAAAGCAACCACCCAAAACATTACAGCTAGACCAGAGATGGCCATCATTTGAAAGTGTTTGGTCCATAGGTTTTTTGGTCTTTGTAGCAAGGCAAGTGTTGAGGGTCTATAGAGGCCTCTCCATTATCTAGGATAGGGAATTTTTATGGTCATGTTTTCCATTGCCTGGAGTTACACAGGTACTCTTGGATGTGTGAAGCAGAAAAGTAGAGGTAACTGGAGCTTGCTAGTTTTGAGTCAGCTTTCCAGAAACAAGCTAGTTTTTTTCAGAACTGTTAAGACTGTGTCCTGCCACCAGGAGGGAAATAAAAACATAATGCTGTAGATTCACAGAAAGGAGGAGCTTTGGAGTTGGGTATCTCACATTTGGCAGTCTCTCAGATGTACTGCTCCCACTGAAGAGACCCTGCTTTTCTTGCTGCATTCCATATTTAGGGCAACTACCATATTAACCAGAACTGCCTCCTTAACTTAGCACACTGTTCTGTCATCCCGAGCTTCCATAGGGATATTTTCTTGCCCTCCTTTCACAACCATTTCCTAAATCTTGTGCCCTTGGTAATCCATGGATTTAATCCATAATCCAAGATTTCCAGTACAGTCCAGGACAGATTGTATACCTGAGAGTCTGAGCACAGCTTAGCCTGAGAGGAACAGTTTCCCAGTCCAGTCCCATGTTGCTGACACCTTCCTTTTATTTATTTCTTAAACTTTGATTGATTCCTGCACTTGATTCCTTCTCTTTCTCACGTTCTAATTCAGACAAGAGGAGTGGTTCCTGTGGAATAAGCTAAGCAGGAATTCACCTGCCTCTTCGTTTTGTGACTGTAGCATACTAAGTAAGACACAATCCATAATTAAACAAAACCGTGATTTTTTCCTAAAAGCTACTTAATAGCTCGTCCAGAAGCTAAGGCATGAAAAACAGTGGCAGAAATTCCCTGGTAGGTGTTTCCTAGACAAGGCCAGGTGGCAATACCTAATTACAGCTTTATATTTTTACAAATAATCTCACTGGCAGGTGCCTTCATAATTTCCATGAGTTGATGGCTATCTTGCACAAGAATCCTAGTAAGAGGTCCTGCTTTAATTATTCCATTTTGTAGATACCATTTTTTTAATTGCTGCTTACAGCTGGGTTTATCTAATTGTTTTAATTGTTTTTCTGCTGCTTTCTCTTCCTTTACTTTTATTGCAATTCATTTCATGGGTGGATGACACTGGGCTCTGTTCTGTAAGAGAGGCTGATAAGGTTGCCTATTCAGACCTTTCTTATTTTATATCCCCTTTGCTTAGAACAGTAATCTGCATCGTGCAATCCCTTAACTACTGGAGTTCTGTATATAATTAGGTGACCTGTGAAACATGGATGGTTTGGTTTTTCTGGCATTTTTCTTTTTTTTTTAAATTTATTTAATTTACACACACAAGCAAGCAACAAAATACTACATTTCCAAAGCTTAGGCTAACTTGTTTCGCCAGTAATGATAAACAAACGGGCAACACAAAGATTGTTCATGGTGTGTTTTCTGAAGGCTTATTGTAGTTTAAAGGTATGCATACAATTTTAAAACCATGTTTTTGTTCTGATCTTTTTAAACAGGCTTGCATATCATAATATCCTCTTAATTAACAAAGTAGATTTATAACAACTTCAGCCTGCTCCTAAACGTTTTGGGCTGGCTACTGCTTTTGTATGGGTGTTTTCCGTGTTGGTGAGCTGGACCCAGTTGATACTTCAGTGCCTTCTAGTGGCTGGAATTGATGTAGAACCCGGTAACCTACAAGGGTGGCTCACACTGTATTCCTGTTTGTCTCATTACATCCTTCTTTCCCCCCTCCTCAAGTGAAATGACAACTGTCTCTGCCTCCCTTGCATGCCCAGGGCGCTGGTACATCCGGGAAGGCTGGCTTTTGGTGGTGCCTTCAAAGGGAGAGGAACTGAAGCGCAGGATGTTCTTCCTGTTCTCTGATATCCTCATTGCAGCAAAGCCCTGCCACCCCCTGCACCCGCTGAACTCGCACAAGCTGGCGTGCCAGGCTGTTTACCCTCTCCACCAGTGCACCGTGGATAAAGTGTTCGGCCACACGCGGAGCCAGGGAGGGCTCCTCAGTGTAAGTCCCCCCACTTCTGCCTGGCAGGAGTGCCAGTGGAGTCAGACTTGGAAGCAGGTTTCCAGCTGTCTCAGCAGCAGCAGGACTGAGATGATGAGACTAGTGACAAAATGCAATGAGCTAGTCTGAGTCAAGGCAACTCTTCTGAGTGGTGTAGGTCCTTTTCCTTTCATGGTGTAGGCCCTCCTGCACGCTCTGGGGTACAGGTTGCTGGTTGCTTCACTTAGCTCAGGTGAGGAGGGTCCAATAAGACTTTGACATGCCCTCATCAGAGCCACAGGTTTGGGGGGACAGCCCCCTGACATGTGACAATGAATACACTGACTGTGGGCTGAACTTACAGAAAAACAGAGAATGAGGGAGGTGTATTATCACAACAGATATTGCCTGTGCATCAAGCTCCCTGAGGGCTGCAGGGTCCTTGGCAGGGACCAGTGTTGTCAGTAGAGGTTTCAAAGTCAGTTCTTCCAAGGTTGCAGGACCTGGGGCTGTGTTATCTCATTCCTTGTGAGCTGCAGCAAAGAACACTTTGAGCAATCTGTGACCTGGTGGTAGTGGAAGGACCCCGAGGGACAGCTTGGAATAAAGGAGAAAAATGGATGAAGAGCTGCTAAGAACTGCCATTGCTCATCTCCAAACAGCTTATAAAGTCAGAGTGAGCTGTCAACTGTGGCTGGAAAGAATGGTCAAGTCTGGCACTTGCTCTCTACTGTCCAGCCTCTGGCTTCTCCCAGTACTAAAGCTAAATTTTTCAGTCTGGGAAGGAAAATGGTGAAAATCAGCATGCAGAGATGAGTTGAATTCAGTAGTGATGATTCTCCTTTAATCAGAATTGCTGCCTAAGCAAGGAATGCCACAGATTCTGTTTGCCTTTCAGCTTTCCTTTCCACACAAGGCACTGCTGTTGATGTCCAGCGACCAACAAGATATCAATGACTGGTATCGGAGTCTCACAGCTGCAGTCAGGTAGGCATCTCTTTTCCAGAGGTGGAAGGGGCTGAGAGTAAGGGGACAGGACATAAAAATGATCATATAGGCCTGTGTATGGTTATAAAGGTGATAGAGAAGGCCTGACTCTGGCAGCCAGGAACACAAGGAATTGTATGAACAGATTTCACCTATAAAGTGGCCTTTCCATTTGTTTTTCTCTACAGGCAGCTGAAAGCCTGATGCACTTGAGTACAAGACAGAGTGGCAAGACAACCACTGTCATGGCAGAAGCCTACACAACCTTAGAAAATGCTCAGGGGCATATAGTAGAACTGCATTTAGAGGGACTACACACTGTGCTTGTGAGATGACGAACGCTTTGTCAGCTGTCCTAATGTTCATACAGACACCGCAAAAAACAAGTATGCACACTAAGCATTTGTGTATAAAAAATAAGTATCAAGAATTGTCCCCAATTTAGCTTAGAAGCTTCTAGCTTTTCTGCACTTTTGTAAACTCAGATTATTAAGGACAAGCAGACGAGAGCCCGATTTGCTTTCCCTCATTAAATGTTTTTATTCAACCGTCTTTCTAAACCAGTGTTTTCACACTCATTTGTCTATGTATGTGTCCAGCTGCTCATGCTTCTGGGTCCTGTGACCAAAATGTGTGTTTTGGGTAGTGGTAATATGGACATTACACTGTATTTCCTGCCAATGGTGCAGGCCACAGTCATCTTATCAAGCAGCATTCACATTTATAATCTGAATACTAAGAGATTATGCAGCTGAAACAGCTCTTGCCTTTGCCTGCATGGTTTGCAGTGCCTTATTGCTTTGAAATCCTGCAGAGAAAACCTTTGGCAGCACCTCTGCTCCTGATCTCCAGGGAAAATCTCCAGGGGCTACAGTCAGCATCCTGGGTCATCAATCCCTGGTAATGTGCTAGGGTTCAGTTTACTAGGATGCCAGACCACTTAAGGAATAAATACAGAAAACGCATTATTCATGAGGATTTTGTTAAAGCCTCAGCATGGACTTTTAACAATGTGGAAGCTCTGCAGCAACAGCAGTTTGGTTCATCTCCCTACAAAGAGGGCAAATTCAAGGCTACTGGAGACAAAGATTAAGGTCTGTCTGAACACTGACCTTTCAGCATTTTGACTGTTTTTTTCTTCTTCCTTAAGCAGCACACATCTTTAATTTCACACTGGGTTCACTAAAACAGAGAATACGTAACTTTAACTTTTTGTCTTTCCATACAATTAACTTGCTCCATGGGATCACTCATTTAAATATCTTAAGTCTGTAAAACTTGGGAGGGAGGAAGGAATGCAACAGGGGTTTTGGAAGCCACACCAATTCCACCATGTTTTACCAAGACAGGTCAGAGTAGATACCCTTGAGGTCCCTTCCAACCTGGTGTTCTATTCTGTGATACCATGTTTCGGTTGGTTTAGGTGGTTTTTTTTTTCACTGCAAAGGTACAGCTAGGACTTTCAAGTACTAGCTGTGCTTGAAATCAAAGACAAAGCTAACAACTAAAGATTCTTAAATAACTCTGAAAAAGTCCTGCCATTCTCCCTTTTTGTTCTAATTAGGTAACATAGAGACTTCCTGTAATCCTGCACCCGAAGCTGGGATGTCTACCAAGCTCTTCCTAGAGATGGCAACAACTCCTACTTGTGCTGCCACCTTATTATAAGACAAGTTCCTTTGATACTGTCTCTTTATAGGATTTATTTCAGTGTTACCACCCTATTTGCATTCAGTACTTTTTGAAACAGCAAAAATATCTGATTTTTCACTGAACTTCCTACCCTGAAATGCTGCACACTGGCTTCCAGGAAACAATGTAGCTCTGTCACAGCAATGCTGCCCCAGAGCAGGGCTGTGTGACCAGAACCTGTAACAAAGCCAGGTTTTGCTGGAGTGTTACTAATGCTCATGCACAAGAATTAAGCTGTGCCAGGGGAGGTTTAGGTCAGACATTAGGAAGAATTTTTTCACAGAAAGAGCGATTAGACACTGGAATGGGCTGCCCAGGGAGGTAGTGGGGTCACTGTCCCTGGAGGTGTTTAAGGAAAGACTGTACACTGCACTCATTGCCATGGTCTAGGTGGAATGGTGGTGTTCAGTCACAGGTTGGACTCAACGATCTCAGAGGTCTTTTCCAACCTAACTGTTTCTGTAAACATAATTCAAACAGAAGCAAGCTGAAGTTTCTGAACAAAGTTTATTTACACAGAGAACATCAACCACCAGGGCTCCCAGCTTGATTTCCTCCTCTTGCCGAGTCTCTATTCAAACCACGGGAAGAAGCAAGTAAACTGTGCGCGCCTCCCATGGCAACCTCAGGTTAGCGACCAACCTCCAGCCCTCCCGACACACACACCTTCCATTCCCGTGCTCCAGGACAGCCCCTCGGGGCACGGGGGGACCCCTAGACAGGGGTGCCCGGCGGGGCCGCCGCCCTTTGCAGGTCCTCCCGGTAGCCCTTGAGCAGCTGGTTGAGCAGCGTCTTCTCGGAGTCGCGGCGCGGGCGGACGAGCGGCGGCAGCGGGTTCCCCTTCAGCTCGATCACCGCCATCTTCGCGCGGTCCAGCGCGTCCCGGTTGGGGATCTGCAGCATGCGCGTGTAGCTCCCGGGGTGCGGCTGGAACCGCGGCGCCAGCACCTTGAACAGCTTGTGGATGAGGTCCTTCTCCTGCGGGGCGGCACGCTCAGCTCCGGCACCGCGGCGGGATGAACGGGGGGGATCCGGGGCTGGGAATGCGGGGGTGGACGGGGGAGGGTACTCACCGTCAGCCAGAAGTTCGCCATGCGCATGGCGCGCTCGTCCGTGTCCCCCGCTTGGGTAAGTCGATGAGCTGCGGGGAGGAAGGAGGCGGGGGTCAGGGCCCCTCGGCCGCCCCCCGCTACCCCCGCCGCTAAACCCCGGCCCGGCCCGGCCCGGCCCCGCCGCTCACCCGCTCGCGTAGCCGCGCATTCTCGTCGCCCGCGCCCGGGGCGTCTTCGATTGCTCATGGCGCACCAGCGCCGTCACCAGGTTGCGCAGCAGGTCCAGGCGCCCCTTCGGGCCGGACCCGAGCCGCCGGTACACGCGGCCGTGCGAGATGGCGGCCGCCACCGACAGCCGCATCCCGCCGCCCTTCCCCGCCGCCGCCCTTCCCGGCCGCCGCAGCCGCCTCCCGGCCTCCCGCGCGCCGCCCGGGCGCTGCCGGGAGATGTAGTCACAGATGTGGCCTCAGGATCCCGGGGTGGGTCAGGTTGGGAGGAACTGCGCTGGAGTCATCTGGTCCAAGCTCCCTGCTCAAACATAGCACGGATTTGCGTCCAGACGGTTCCTGAATATCTCCAGTAAGGGAAACTCCACGACCTCTTTGGGAAATCTGTTCCAGTGCTCGGTCACCCACACGGTAGAGAAGTTCTCCCTCATTTTCAGGTGGAACTTCCTGTGCATCTCGCCCCGTTGCTCGGTACCACCGAGCAGAGCCTGACTCTATCCTCTTGACACCGTCCCTTTAGAGACACGTTGATAAGGTCCCCTCTCAGTCGTCCCTTCCTTTGGCTGAAGACGCCCCGTTGCCTCAGCCTTTCAGTATAAAGAGAGATGGTATAGTCCCTTAGTCATCTTTGTACCCCTCACCTGGACCCGCTCTAAGACCTCCACATCTCTCTTGTCCTGAGGCACCCAGAACACAGCGCTCCGGATATGTCCTCGGCAGTGCTGAGTAGAGGGGCAGGATCAGCTCCCACTACCGCTGGCAATGTTGTTCCTAGCGTAGTCCGGCCCGCAGCCGCGAACCGGGAGGTCTGACCGGGACAGGGAAACCGGGACAGACCCGGCAGAGAGAGGCGGAGGTGCTGCTGGCGCTAAAGGGCCGCACTGCCCCCGGGTCCAGCTGCCGGTCCCGGCAGTCTTTTGCTACTTCTTTTAAAACTATCGGATGCAAGTTAATTAGCCACTCGGATATTAAAATGTCTAGCTTGATTAAACTGCTGTGTAAGTGATTAAAATCAAAATTAAACTGCATCATCATGTCATATGACTATACCATCTGGCTTTCCCCAGATGCAGATGCTAAATGACTCTGCTTTTCATGAATTCTTGTCAGTTCTGTTCTGTTATCATCATTCAGTCATGGAAAAATAAAATTCCAAGTACAACTGGGAACTTCTTTGTCTACCTTTTCATTCTTAGATCTGCTAACCGTAGATTTTTCTCTTTAACATTTTGCTTCCACTATCTACTTTGTAAAATCTAAGGCAGTTGTTACTATGATTGTTCCAGCCTTTTTTCTTTTCTTTCTTTCTTTCTTCTTATTTATGTTTCAGTATGATTTACAAATGCTTTTCGTTTTACTTTGCGTTACCCAAGTCCTAGGTCCCAGCAGTGGAGCTGGATCCCACCAGGAATGACAATCAGCCCGGTGTACCAGCCCTGCTGCTGTCCCTGTGGCATCGGCAGGCAGGCAGGGTGGGCTCTGAGGGGAGGAAGGAATGCAGCCAGGCTCCCCGCTGCCGCTCGCTACGGCTGTGATGGGGCACAGCCCGCAGGATGCTCCTGGGGCTGCAGGGAGCAGCTGGGCCACGAGGGGCAAGCGAGACCTGACAGAGCCTGTGTCTTATTCCCCTCTTTTCCACAGTGCTGGTGGCAGGATGTCAGAGAGCTTCAGACCCCCGTAGCACACGCCCAGGCTGTGCAGAAACTGTGCATACTGACAGAGTGAGGTAAGGCTGCTGGATCCAGCCTCACACAGCGCAGGAGCCGCCATCCATATAGCAGAGCTGGTGCTGTGCTTTATTCCCACAAAGACTGAAACCCACATTAGTTTGCAGGAGCTGATCCCTCATAGTCAGAGAACTATGGCAGTATGTGTAGCTCAGTTCCAAGAAAAATACCAGAAGGCAGCACAAGGAGGTTTCTCTCCATTTGTTTCTTCCAGCCAACATTGCTGTATTTCAGAGAAAGTGATGTGTAACAAAAGCAGCTTCCAACAGTCTAAGAAAAAATATCTTTGTTATTATGAATACATCATAAAATCACAGTCATCTTATACACATTTTAGTATTTCATATATAAATAAAGTGAACAGTATAGTTATTGGAATGTGTAATAGGAACAAACATACAGATTTTAATGTGAAATTGAGAGACTTGGACTCCACCCCCATCTTTTGTTGCTGCTCTGGGACTTGGCATATTAAGTCTGAAACACTTCTAGGAAGAAGGCTATGTAAGCTGTGATGCCAACAGTAACTCCAGGCATTACCCTAATTCCATTTACAATCAATTTTCCTCTTTTTTTCCTGATTTAGCATGACAATAAAAAAATTCTTCCATGCCAGAATTACAGCTTTGTAAGAAAGACTAAACCTGTATGTACTTGGCACAGCGTTGAAAGAAAACATTTTTCAAGATTCATGATTTTGTTAATCCCGTTAACAATCAATTTTCCCACCACTACACACTCTTGCAAATGTTTCCATTAAATATATTTCTAATATTAATAAAATAACAAATTCTTTATTATCCTTCTGCTTATAACTTGATGTATTAACATCAAAATAATATTTCTTTCTAATAAAATTATACATAATATTTATATGAAACAAAGTTGTCATGTGCATGAGCCTAGTAATGAGACTAGACATGAGTATAGAAGTTTCTACTTTCTTGTTTTGGATTCTTGGGAAAGTTTGTTATTTTTGGAGCCACAGAGTAATAAATAATTTGAAAGGTAATGACTTCTCTGGCTACCCCGTAATGAAACTTAAGATTGGAAATTATTCCTCTGTGCTGGTGTTATAAAATGTTGGGTATGCTGAAGAAAATGACACTTTTCTGAGTGTCTTCATGTGTTTATCCAGAAATCTTAATGAAATGTTGCTGATAAAATATGTTATGAAAGTTATCATACCGTTAATCAGAAACGAGAAAGGTCTTAGCTGGACGCAGACCGGAGGCTGACCCTTCCCTGCCAGCTGTGCTCAGAGGGGCTCTCTCTGCTCTAGGAATTCCTGTGCCATGTTGGCTGAACTTATCTTTGCCATAGTGTCCCCCTTGTTGATGGGACTAGAACAGCTTTGGGGCAGTTCTCATTCTGGACTGAGAAGGGTGAAAGACAAGGACAAGCCCAAGGAGCATTTTCTGTCACCTTTTTTTAACGAAGTAAACTCATCTGTTGGAAATCCAGCTCTAGGCTGTGAAAACCAACGATGCTGACTCCAGAAAGGGAAGACACTGAGGTTTCTATTCAGAAAGTCATGTTAACATGTGCTATATTTATAGTCATGAACCTGTAGAACAACTCTCTGTACTTACAGCAAAGCACATGTTTTATCTGCTTTTCTGGTTGTCTCAGAATTTTCCTTCCCTGGATACTTATGCACAGCAGGGCAATTGTCACCTCTCCCTGAATTTGACTGTTAAATTGTGGGAACTTCTCATTTGGTATGTTTCTATATTTGAAAAAGCAGAGCTTAGAACTAAAATAAGTGCCTTTTTTAGAACATATCATCTTGTGGGCAGGGGGCAATAGAATCTGTAGATATGTAGGAAGTGGCACATCTAACATAAGTTATGTAATTTTGTAAGTGATGGTCAAAAATCTTAAGCTACTAATTCTCTAGTGGGAACCAACCTGGCCCAGCAGGTGATGAAGTGTACTGGTAAACACATGCAAGATTTAAAAATACAACACAATTTGCAAGATTTAAAAATACAACATTTGACACCGAACCAATTTAATTAAAATTGCATATTCATAAACGATGTAATTTATACTTAGTTGCCCGCCATAAAAGCCTCATATGCTGTCTTTGAGGTTTCTTTCAGCCTGCTGCATATAAGACCATCCCTCTTCTGGCAACAACTTCCTTCCTCAAGTCTCCCTTATGATGTGGTTCACAAGCCTACTTGGATCTGCAGCTGCTGGCAGAGGTCCTCCCAGACTGAGGAGAAGCCCAAGGACCACAGGGTAAGACCATTATCTTTTTTTTCAGCTATCCCTGTGACTTAGACATTGCTTTGTAAATACTGATAAAGACATAACATGAAGAGGAATACAGAATACTCATGTTCTTAAAAGTTAATGCCCTTGCTTATGGCTTAGTGATAGTGAGAAGCTGGGAAACAGCTACAGGAATGAATACATCCTCTTAAGACGACACACAACAGACATGAAAGGTCTAGGGAGCCAACTGTTCACACTGCATGATCTGTACTGGTGGTGTCGGGATTACACCAACTATCTTTTGGCCTAGAAAATATGGAAGGGAATCCAAACCTTTATGTGTTATCTGAAAAGGCCCTGCTTATATTTTTATCTGTATTTATTCTATTAGAACATGCAAGCCCTGAAAAACACGGCAAAATAACAAGATTTGCTTTGCATTTGTAACATGGACACCACTGAGCACTAGACATACTGTAGAAGTAGCAGCTACACAGATACAACATTGAAATTTTGTGCTTAATATACTCCTTTATATTCCAATCTTGGCAAAGTCCTCAGGAGCTGTGGAAATCCGAAAGAAATAGTAACATACATCACCCATGAGGTATGGTCTAACTTGTGCATCCAATCTTCCAGTGTAAATAAAGGGCACTCCCTTTTATCCCCATTCACAAATACAGGATCCCATGTGTAGTACCTCACTTAGCCATCCTTGTACCTGTTGAAATGTTTTGTCATGTGCACTCCTGCACCTACTCATACTCCTCCATACACCCAGCCAAGTACACTGCCACTCTGTGTTTCAGTTCGGTGAAAGCCGTTTAGGTTGATCTCATGCAGCAGAGGAACAAAACAGATGGAAGCTCTTTGCAAACATGAGGCCTCTCTCCGGTGTCTATTTCACTCAGACTTCAATTTCACCAAGGAAGACATGAACATGCAGGAGGTCAGAATCTGACTCTTTCTGCAAGGCTGGGATTGATTTTGTGCTTGCCAGTAAGCCTGCCTGATTCACTTATGATTGGTTTTCCTGTTTTAAACATCCCCTTTATCTTGCTCATCTTTGTGCAGTGTATTCAACATGAATCTGTTGAGAAAGGTAACTGGCCTTCACACTGAGCAGTGGGACAATGGTAAGGAAAAAGTAGTGTTAGTTTAGGATGAACATCTTTTGACTGTCTTTGAATGATACTCT